GGGGCCACCTGTGTTCTTCGGACCTCATCCTGGTTGACTGTCTGGTCTGTGGCATCCAATGCGCAGGCTATCTCCTCCTTCCTGCTTTCCCACATGGCTGCTGTGACCCTCACTCCTGGGTTTCTACTTCCTGCTCTGGCTACTATATCTCAGAGCCCCCACCCCACCCCACTATTCACCTCCCTCGATCTTCTGTTATTGATAGAGTGTGTTCTCATCAGTCCAGTTTCTTACTTAAATTCTGTCATTGGGGCACAGGGAGGGGTGCTAACATGGACGAATCCATGAGGACCCAGCTGTCAACTGACAATTATAGAGTCACGTGTAGTGGGTCTGTGAGTGTTCACTGTGGGTCTGTGAGTGTTTGATGCCCTCCTTCCAACCTCTTTGTGCTGCAAATTTTTCTTAAGATGTTGGGGAAACTATCCTTCAATGATTCTTTTGGCTTTTTCTATATAACGTGGACTCCTTCCCAGTGAACTGGAGGCCTCTTGATCCGACTGCTTCCTCCCTCTATTACGCCATCTGCCATGGCTCACATATCCCCTTCCCACAAACCATCCTAAATGACCTGGAGCCTCTCAGGAGAGTGCGATATTTCATTCACCATAGCTTCCAATTCCCAGAATGCTCATTGATTGACTCCCTGAACCCCAAACCTGTGTATCCTCCATAAATGCACCTCTGCTTCTGCCTCCTCCAGGAAGCTTTGGCTGACCCCTAGGAGAGGTCCTCCTTGGGTCTGCGCTGCTCTCCTGTCTCTGGGCAAAGGTCTATGTGGTCAAGGGTCTGGGCGGGGGAGGCTGGGGCGTCCACAATGCTGTGGATCTGGCCCGGGGAACTGGCTTCTAGCTGCCCCGGTCTCTGCATCACCGATGATCTCTCATTTATTTCCACAAATAAACCTTCTGACCCTGTGCACCAGCACTCCGGAGAGCAGGTCCCCAGGCAATGCCTTGTTTACGACACACACGCTCAGCTGGCAGCGCGAGGCTGGGACTGACAGGCGGACCGAGCCCGGGGCCTGCAGCCGGAGGGGCGGCCCTGCTGGGCCGGGGGCCTGGAGAGCGAGGTCTGGGCAGGGGAGGGGAGGAGGGCGGGGCCTGCGCCGGTGCGAGCCGGTGTCCCGGGCCGGGGACGGAAGTTGCACCACAAGTCCAATTAGTTTCAGTTTTGTTTCTCTTTCAGGCCCCAGAAACAGCGCTGTGCGGGCCTCGGCCCCCTGCCATTCCTGGAGCCTGAGGTCCCCTCTGGCTGGGTAAGGAGGGGTGCAGGGGCTGAGCCAGCAGGGTGGGGGGCAGCGGTGGGGGACAGAGGGAGGGAGAGAGAGAAGGCTCCAGAGGAAGAGGAAGGGAGGGGAGAGAGGGAAAGAGGGACCCGGAAGGCCGCAGGAGGGGGTAGCTGGGAGGCAGCACTGTCCCCACACGCCCCCTCCATGGCCAGAGGGCTCAGGATCCCCAAGAAAGACCCCCTCCCACTCTCTGAGCTCCCTTCCCACCCCCCAGTAGGCAAAGGGGAAAGGCCACCAAGTCCCAGCATGAAGGGCCTCTCTGTCACTGTGCTGGGAGCTCACCAGTCCCACCCTTCAGAGGTTTCTAGAATGCAGGACCCTAGGAGAGGAGGTCAGGACGGGGGAGATCCCGAGGTCCAGCAGGCGGAGATCTGTCCCAGAATGGATTTCAGGAAAAAGTCAGGGCAGGAAGTGGGACCCCTTTCCCTGGGGAATGGTCCTGGGGGCAGTTGGGGCCCTTGTCCCACTGCAAGTCCCTACCCCAGCTGCCAGCACCCAGGTGTCTGTGCTCACCCGACTCTCCTGTGTCCTCACTGCCTGCCCCTCCCACCCAGCACCCAGTCCAGGCAGACCCCCCCACCCCCCACTGAGTCACCAGGAGGGCTTGCACCACACCTGCCCCAGGCCTGGAGCCTGGAACACTGATGATTCGATTTTTGCTCTGGGAGGCCCTCTCCTGGCTTGTCACCACCCCCAGCACTGACTTGTTTACATTTGCTGAATGTATCTAGGGAGGAAGAGGAGGAGGAAAGGGAAGAGGAAGAGGGAGGCTCCCAAGCTCCACCACTGGCCAAGGCCCCAGGAAGCCAGAAGGAAATTGCTGACCATCAGGTGAGACCCCAGGCCAGGGAATTTTTGTGGTGCTGGAGGGTGGGAAGAAAGGGGGACTGGGCTGGAGGCCCTGTTGAGAGGCCACTCCATCCCTGACCCTGCCCCTGCCTGCAGCATGTTTTCCCAGGGCTCCTCGCCCTCCCTGCTGGAGGCCCTGAGCAGCGACTTCCTGGCCTGCAAAATCTGCCTGGAGCAGCTGCACACACCCAAGACGCTGCCCTGCCTGCACACCTACTGCCAGGACTGTCTGGCCCAGCTGGCCGACGGCAGCCACGTCCGCTGCCCAGAGTGCCGCGAGACAGTGCCCGTGCCACCCGCCGGGGTGGCCGCCTTCAAGACCAACTTCTTCGTCAATGGGCTCCTGGACCTGGTAAAGGCCCGGGCCTGTGGAGACCTGCGTGCAGGGAAGCCAGCCTGTGCCCTGTGTCCCCTGGTAGGGGGCACCAGTGCCGGGGGACCGGCCACAGCCCGGTGCCTGGACTGTGCCGACGACTTGTGTCAGGCCTGTGCCGACGGGCACCGCTGCACCCGCCAGACCCACAGCCATCGCGTGGTGGACCTGGTGGGCTACAGGGCCGGGTGGTATGACGAGGAGGCCCGGGAGCGCCAAGCAGCCCAGTGTCCCCAGCACCCAGGGGAGGCCCTGCGCTTCCTGTGCCAGCCCTGCTCCCAGCTGCTGTGCCGAGAGTGCCGCCTGGACCCCCACCTGGACCACCCCTGCCTGCCCCTGGCTGAGGCAGTGCGGGCCCGGAGGCCGGGCCTTGAGGAGCTTCTGGCCGGCGTGGACAGCAGCCTAGTTGAGCTGGAAGCCACTCGGGTGGCCGAAAAGGAAGCACTGACCCGGCTGCGGGAGCAGGCTGCCAGGGTGGGGACTCAGGTGGAGGAGGCAGCCGAGGGCGTCCTCAGGGCCCTCCTGGCCCAGAAGCAGGAGGTGCTGGGGCAGCTTCGGGCCCACGTGGAGGCTGCCGAAGAGGCTGCCCGGGAGAGGCTGGCCAAGCTAGAAGGCCGGGAGCAGGTGGCCAGGGCGGCAGCTGCTTTTGCTCGGCGGGTGCTCAGCCTGGGTCGGGAGGCTGAGATCCTTTCCCTGGAGGGGGCCATTGCCCAGAGGCTCCGACAGCTGCAGAGCAGCCCCTGGACCCCGGGGCCAGTGCCCTGCCTGCTGCCCCAGCTGGAACTCTACCCTGGGCTGCTGGACAAAAACTGCCACCTGCTCCAGCTCTCTTTTGAGGAGGAGCAGCCCCTGCAGGAGGATGGGAGAGGTGCGGCAGGACCCCAGGGGGAGGAAGAAACCCAGAGCCAGAGGGAGCATGGAGCCAAGGCCGAGCGGCAGGGTGGAGGCCAGCCCCAGGGTAAGGATGGAGCTCCTGCCCCCAAAGAGGACAAAGCCAAGACACCCCAAGAAGATGGAGCCCAAGCCCCCAAAGGAGACAGTACCCAGCCAGGCCAAGAAGAGGGAGGAGTCCAGGTCGAGAGGGGCTGCAGGTCCAACAAGAAGAGGAAGTTCAAAGGCAGGGGCAAGTCCATGTCCCGGGAGCCCAGCCCCGCCCTGGGGCCAAACCTGGAAGGCTCCGGCCTCCTCCCCAGACCCATCTTTTTCTGCAGCTTCCCCACGCGCATGCCTGGGGACAGGCGGTCTCCCCGAATCACTGGGCTCTGTCCCTTTGGTCCCCGGGAAATCCTGGTGGCAGATGAGCAGAACAGGGCTCTGAAACGCTTCTCGCTCAACGGCGACTACAAGGGCACCGTGCCGGTCCCCGAGGGCTGCTCCCCGTGCAGCGTGGCAGCTCTGCAGAGCACAGTGGCCTTCTCGGCTGGCGCGAGGCTCTATCTCATCAGCCCTGATGGTGAGGTGCAGTGGCGCCGGGCCCTGAGCCTCACCCAGGCCAGCCATGCCGTGGCCGCGCTGCCCAGTGGGGACCGGGTGGCTGTCAGTGTGGCAGGCCACGTGGAGGTGTATAACATGGAAGGCAGCCTGGCCACCCGGTTCATCCCCGGGGGCAAGGCCAGCCGGGGCCAGCGGGCACTGGTGTTCCTGACCACCAGCCCTCAGGGCAATTTTGTGGGGTCAGATTGGCAGCAGAACAGCGTGGTGGTCTGCGACGGGCTGGGCCAGGTGATTGGGGAATACAAGGGGCCGGGCTTGCATGGCTGCCAGCCGGGCTCCCTGTCCGTGGATAAGAAGGGCTACATCTTTCTGACCCTTCGAGAAGTCAACAAGGTGGTGATCCTGGATCCCAAGGGGTCACTTCTTGGTGACTTCCTAACAGCCTACCACGGTCTGGAAAAGCCCCGGGTGACCACCATGGTGGATGGCAGGTACCTGGTGGTGTCCCTCAGTAATGGGACCATCCATGTCTTTCGGGTTCGTTCTCCTGACAATTAAAGGGGCTGAGATGGGGGTGGTGGGGGGCCGTGGGGGGGGCAGGTGGGAAGTAGAGCCACGTGGGGTATGGTGGCCAAGGACATTTCCCCAAAGGGCAGTGGTTGGCAGCTTTTCAGCACGAATGCCAAACTGCCAACCCCTCTTCTGATGTGCAGGGACCAAGGGTAGTGGTGCGTGCATAGCTCTCAGAAGCACTGGGGCGGGGAAGGTTCTAGAAGCCAATAGAACCTCTTCCTTTCATGGGTGACTGCTGCTGCTGTAGCTGCTACCGTGTGGTTGAGGTTTCTGAGATTTGTATAGAGGTGTCCTGATTTGTATTCTTCAAAACCATTCCTGGCGGAGAGGCCGGGGGAGAGTCCAGGGGAGGTGGAGGTCACGTCATCGCCGTCTGAGTCGAGAAGGAGCCAGAGGAGGCCAGACATGGGCATTATGAAATAGAGTCACGGACGGGCTGCGGTCAGCTGGACACAGGAGGAGCTGGGGTCAGAAGAGGCCTGAGATCTTGAAGTAAATGACAGTGACATGCTTTGCCTGACACAGACAGACATGGGAAGTGAAGGCGGTCTCAGAAGAGTATGGTATGGGCTTCCTGTGGGCCCAGATGCAGACATAAGCAGAGGCCATAGGTGTTAGTCTTGAAGCCTGTGGAGGAAATAGGCTCCCAGGAAAGCATCCCTGGCAGAGTTGTTTGGAAAAAGTGTTTGGGTATCAGAGAAGGGGAGCCCTCCACGCCCCCCACCAGAGCCATTCTGAGGCAAGGCCTTGGTGGGGTTGTAAGATCTCCACGAGGCAACGTTTCTGTTAGGCTTTCTTTATATTTCCCGGGGTCTGTTTTTTGGTTTCCCCTTCATTATTCAGCAACATACCCTTTAGGAGACGTCAGCCTTCGCTAGGCTGCACACACAGGTAAAGGAATTTGTCCTTTTCCATAGGCCAATATGGCGGCCAAGGGTGGTACTGGGGTGGGTGCCAGGCCAGCTTAGGAACCTGAGAATTCAGCAATGGGGATGGGAGGGAGGTGCGAAAACCAAGGGAAGGATCCAGTCAGAGGTGAGCCATGGCCACTGGTCCTTTTTATGTATGGTGGCAGTGATAGAGCTGAGGTAGTTGAGTTGGCTGCGAATGTGTTTAGCCAGGGCTGTGGAGAGGTGGACGGAGAAGGGAATCGTCATGTAGGGATCACAGACGGTGGAATGTGCATGAAAACTAGAGGGATTTGGAACAAATTCAGGTGGAAAGTGGATTGTATTAGGGTCAGGGAAAAGAAAATCCTTTTCCAGAGAGAACAGTTCTTATTATTGAAACGGTGGGGGGAATCATCAATGTCCAGGTGGACAATTTTGGTGATATAAAAATTAAAAATGTGCTCACAGCAAAGAATAACAGAGATTCAAAGAAAACCAATAAGATAAGAAAACTATATAGGATTGATTTGATGAGAAGAAGCTCAGTATATGAAATGACTAAGAGAACGATTTGGACAAAGAACCAGATAGACCATGCATCCAGCAAGTAATAAAAACCACTTGCATTTGTCAATAATAAATTTCAAAAATACATTCCGGAGAAATATGTAGACTCTTGGCACTATAAATATTACTTCCTGTAGAACAATTTGGCAATATTTGACCCAAGAGAAAAAAAAAAAAAAGCAAAAACAATTGTAAGAATACTTTACCTCACTTTGGGGAATATATTCTGGAAAAAAAATTCAATAGAAAAAAATGTTAGCGCCAAGACATTCATGGCTGCCTTCAGTGTTAGAGTCATTAACTGGAAGCTTCTCGGCTGGAGGGTGACAGCTCAGGAGATTGTGGTCTGTTAGGGGAATGAGCTACTGCCTTCACGTATGGCAACTATGAAGACTATGTGGAAGAAATAGTTATGTGATGCAATCACAAGCCAATTAAAAAAAGAGAGAGAGAGAGGAGAATTTGGAATTGGGATCACATAGTCATAGCATCAAGGTAAAATATGTCTGAAAAATGACCGAGTGGAAATAGGGCCAACTTTGTAAATAGTCAGTGATCTGGGAGACCGAGTTCTCTTTGAGTTATTTGTGCTATCATCCACATATGCACATTTCTACTTCAGTTAACGTCATCCATGACATAACATATGCTTGAACATTTACTTCTAGAAAATAACGCCTTTTTCTGTGATATTCCAAAGTAACTACTGAATTCCAGAATGAATGTGTCGGTTAGAACAAATGAGATTATCCTTAAAGAGAGAAGCCAGGAAGGGGAATCCCAGCAGGCCAGCAGCGAGGAAGGTCCACCAGAGCTGGGCCTGTCTGGGCATGGGGATGGACTAAGGTACCACCCTGGGAAGGTTCAAAGAGTCCAGGCAATTCCTGAGGGTGATGGGATGATTGTGGAATGTCCAGAATGCAGAAGTCTTGTCGGGTTCCCCCACTTACTCAGACCATCTGGGAACCAAGGAACAGTTCTACAGACCCCACTGTATGAGATGGGTCGTATGAAGGCCGAGACGGTGTCTGTCCTGGTTGTAGCTCTGTCTGCAGAACTCACCCAGTGATTGCTCATTGCAGGTGCTCAATAACATCTGTGAAATGAATTAATGTTTATAAAGGATTAAGACAGTGGTCTGACTCCAGAGATCTCCCACCTCAAAATGCTAAAGCCCTAGTCAGTCAAGCTGTGCAAACACCATCACTGGCGGGAAATCTCCAGTAGGGGGCACTGTGGACACAGTCCACCATTTGCTTCCCAAGACTGGATTCTGTGTCAAAAAACAGATAAGATTGGGAGATCTTGCTTCTATGTTTGTAGAATGGGGGGCTAATGTCCTCTCCCCTGATTGGAACAGTAGTTCTCCAGAAATGCATAGAGACACTGGGCAGACAGCCTGACTGGTGAGATGGCAAATGTCCCGCAGAAAAGTCCCAGAAAAATTCAAGAGATCAAAGTGACACATGGCTTCCCAGGGACATTGGAAGACGGAGGAAAATCCTGAATTTTCCTCATAAGAGGGAGGGTAGGAAGGCACAGAACCCTGGTAAAATGTGAAAGATGAATAGGGTGGGCAGCATCAAGCTTAATTTGCAAGTCAAATCCTCAGCACCTTAGTTGTGACCTGGAAAGCCCAGTGAGAGGCATCGTCCAGCACATCCAGCACTGAGGGAAGCGTTCTTTGGTATCCACAAACATCCCCACTCCATCCCACTTTGGACCGTGACAATTAGTTTCATCAGTTGTCCTTTTCCCCATGAGGTCTGTCCAGGCTGTGTGTGGACTGAATGCCATCTGGGTCTGGAGGAGAAGACTAGAAACCTCTTTCACAATGTTTGTGCAGAAAAAAGGGGGAGAATGGGGCAGCAGAGATCTGGATCGAGTGAGTGCTGGTTCTTTTGCTTGATAGGTGTGTCAACTTGCTCTGGTTCCCTAACCTCTCTGAACCTCAGTTTGTCCATGGGTAAAATGAGAATTGAATGCCCATCTCCAGGTTGCAGTGAGGATCGGAGTGAGACATATAGGGAAGTATTTTGTACACCATGAAGCTCAGCTCGGTGATATTGGTTAGAAAGAAGTTCAGCGGACCTGTTCTCCATCGGTGTTAGTGTGAATGGGGATTTGACGTGCACGTATTGACATAAAAGCTCGAGAATCTCTGGGTAGGGCTGCTACCTACAAACTGTCCTCTCCTTTGGAGGAGGCTGTCTTGTTTTGCATTCCAGCTGTTTTGTGCAGAAACCACATGAAAGACACAGCGGTGACTGCAGAAGAAGGGACCAATGACCAGCTTGCTAAGATTCCATGCCATTCCCAAAAGCCAGCTGAGAATCAGACTATGCTAATTAAGGACTGATTACCTAGACGTTGAGAGAAAGATAAAAAATGGCAAGAGTGATAATTTAGAGATAATTTAGATAAAATTTTTGATAATTCAGAGAAAATATAATTTGGGAAGGAATAGCCTTCCTGTAACTGTAGTCTTACTATATCTATAAAGTGATGTCATTTTCTGAATCTACAGAGATAAAATTCCAAAGGAGAAGAAGACCAAGAGAGAAGTGAGAATCTTTCAGAGGAAATCGGTGATGTTGGGGACCTGAGATGGGCAGGGTTTGATCCACGGGTGGCAAGGTCAAGGTGTTTGACCACTCTTCTTGGCAGGAAAGCTGAGAACTTGAGCTGTTCTGTGAAATAAGTGGGTGATGGGAGAGGGGTGCAGACTTCTGTATTGGGGAGCACGCAGTCTTACACTGGCAGAGAGAGCACCCAAGAAGTTGTTCGTAGCAGGAGAGAAACCAAGTTCAGATGCAAGCTTGGGAAGATAGGTAATTTGATCCAAGGGAGCAGAACCAGCCCACCCAGCTGGCTCACAAACATAGTTTAATCACATGCGTCATGACGGGAGGAAAAATAGATCATCTGGGGAATCACAGACTCCTAGGATTGGAAGGGTGAAGAAAGCACAGAGAGGTCAGGTAAGGCCTCACCTAAGGTGCTGGGTGAGGAATCTTGGGACCAGGTGGAGAAAGGCCTGTGTGAAAAGGCAGTTTAGGAAGTGGGATTGGGGGGCTTGGGAGAGGCAGCCCGAGGTGTCTCCAGAGAAAGTGTAAGCTGGTTGATTTAGTGACCAAGAAAGGCTGAGTTGAGAACAATGAAACAGGACCCTAGTCCCCTACATAGTGTCAGCCCAGCCTGTTTCTCTGGGTGGCCGGGGGGGATCTAGTGTCTGTGCTGTGAATTCTTTTGGTGGTTTATTTTGTATCTTCCTCTGTTTCTTAATAAAGTTGTTTTGAAAAATTGGAAGCCTTTCTCGGATGGGTTTGTGGGTATGGGGAACCTTCAACACCTAGGCTCCCAAAGCAGAGGGAATCAGATGACTGTCGCCACCTGGTGGCAGCACCCGGGATGGCCAGGCAGATTCTCGGGTGACATTGCAGAAACTGGCACAGTCACCATCTGTGATCCCATCTTGTCCCAGCTTGCTCCCTCCTGCAGGACAGATGGGTCCTCTGGGGAGAGATGTGTTCCTGTACACTACGCCTGGGAGGAAGCCAGCAGGGACCCAGTCCATTCAGGAACAAGGTCAGAGTCTGACACGTTGGAGGTGGCCCCCCCGGGGGACCATGGTTGCACCCATACATTGGTCTTTACCTATTTTATGGTTTGAGGGAACCAAGCAAGTACTTCTGGATACTTTGGAGCCAGCACATTCATTTGTGATCCTTCCTGCAGGGTTGAAGGGTATCGGGGTTCTAGGAATATCTGCCCATCCGCCAAACCCACACCCCTAGCCTAGTCTCCAGGATCCCCTCCAGGCACTTCATCCCTCTCCCCTCTGAGTTTTCCTGAGCAAGAAGAGGAAAGACCTCGGCTCTCGGCCTCCCTGTCCAACACAGGAGGCCACAGAGCAGTGGCAGGGCTGCCTAGTGCACTTTACAGCCCGCGCCTCTGAGGACCCTGGATTCCCCCAGTGTAGGCATCACTCAGTTATTCTATAGATAAGGAAACCAGGCTTGCCGCAGCTCGCTCAGGACTTAAACTCAGACCAAGTTTCCTCTGATTCCAAAGCTGCCCTTCCCAGTATTCATCACGGGGTCCCCTGCTTTCCTAAGCATCTCTGTCACTTGAGCCCAGCTGTGTTCCTATCTCCATTACAAAATGAGAGAGTGAAAGAAAGGGGACTGGAGGTCCCTGAGCTGACAGATCAGGCCTGTCCCTGTCACCCGTCTGGAATCTTAAGCATGAAAAGGAGCTGCAGTGGCCCCAGGCCCTCCTTACGGTCTTGATCTCACCGCCAGGGCCCCCAAGCTGGAGAAGGAAGGACAGCCAAGGAGGGAGTGCTCTGAGTGGCTTGGGGAGGGAGCAGGGCCTCGCTGCCGCTGCCGAGCTGACAGGCCTGCCCAAGAATCCCGCAATTCATCCCGGATGACTCAGCCCGCTCTGGACCAGGCGCCCCGGTGAACCCCGGGGAGCGTGACTCAGCTGCCGAGGGGGCCGGTGGCAGGAGACGCTGCTGCCTGCCGCTGTCCATGTGAGCCGAGCGGTGACTGTGAGCAGAACAGCCTGTTCCCAGCCCAAACCCCAAGGCGGAGTGTCTGCCTCTGTGGTCAGACCCACTCGGGCCTCATGCTCCCGGCCATGTGGCCGTGCCCCCTCCCTCTGACCTGGTCTGTCTCTCCTCCTGTGCATGCGAGAGGCACAGGCACCTCTGCTGCCCACAGCCCTGGTGAGCAGCCATGGCTGCAGCCAGAGGCTATGGACGCAGCCCCCTCATCTCTGCCTGGGCCAGGCAGGCGCCTCACGGGCTGGGCACACACTGGACAGATGGTCGCAACCCCTCTCAGCTCTCCCGCGGGGGGCCTAGGGAATGGGGCTCTGGGTTTGTGCTCTGGGATCTACACGGAAAACAGTTCTTCACTTTCCGAAATTGCTGCCCTTGGTGGCCCACCCAGTCACTTCATTCAAGTTGGATCTGACCAGGGAGGAGTGGGCAGCCCCATGCCTGGGGTGAGGCCCTGAGGCCAAAGAGATGGACTCCTTTTCCTTAAAAGGAAATCCTGAATAAGAGTGACATTATCCAAAGTCTGGGAGAAAAGATAAAAATCTCATTCTGAGGAACTTCCCCCACCCCCACCCACCTCCCATGGCACTTTAAGGATCCACTCTGACTTTTCATTATCTCATCTGAAATAACGAAATGGTTTATTTCTTGCCTCCCGCTGACACTTCTTGCCCCTGAAGATGCAAGCCCCCTACAACCAGGGGACTTTGTCTATTTTGTGCACGGATCCTAACCCTTAGAACCGTGCTAGAGCTACAGTGGACACGAATGAATGAAAGCAGCCCAGTGCTGTGGCTCTAAGCAGCTTAGTGAGACCCCCTCTCCAAATAAAACATAAAAAGGGCTGGGAAGGTAGCTCAGTGGTTAAGCGCCCCTGGGCTTCATACCAAGTACCAAAAAAAAAAAAAAAGAATAAATAAGCGAAGGACCCTGAGAGTGCTCACACAGAGTCAGGCCCCATTCTACCTACTGTGGGTGCTGCCCAAGTTCCTCCTTCTAGTCGTCCGCACCTCTCCAGGAAGCAGGTGTTGCTCTGGTGCCTGCTCCAGAACTCAGGAAGGTGTGGTTAGAGGGCTTATGTAACACGTGAAAGATGGCCAAGAGCCATGCAGGGAGCAGGGCAGAGGCCAAAGCTGCCCAGGCCTACCTGCGCCAACTCTTCCTGCCCTGGTGAAGACACACCCCAGGAATCACTTTAATCCCCACCGACCTTCCCATGACCTCCCAAAATAACTCTGTGATGTACACTCAACTGGGAGGAAATCAGAGTGGATAGAAGCACAGGCAGGAGGGAGGCTGGTGGATGTGATGGAGGAGTGGACCGGTCTTCAAGCTGGCCTGAGGCTCTGGGGCCTGGCTTCCCTGCCCTCCACCTGCAGAACTGGTCTTGAGAGGAGATGGCATCTTGGAGCACTGGTGTTTCAGGGACTTCCCTGGGCTCAAGCTCAGCCGCAGGCAGCAAGAAACCCTCAGGAAAGTGATCTGGATTCAGCCCTGGGAGCTTCCCACACAGTCTGTGGAAGGCAGGGATGAGTGTTAGGGAGTAAGCCGCGGGAACAGTACATCTCGCCCCAGTTTTGCAGATCAAGGACAAAGAAATCATCAGGCCCAAGAGCCAACTTACATATAGGCCCGTACTCCTTCTACCTCACCTACCAGTTCGCCTTTCTGCCCTTGTATTAGTCTGTCTTCTGTTGCTATAACAAAACACCAGAGACTGAGTCATTTATACATAATAGAGGTTGATTGGGCTTACGGTTCTGGAGACCTGGATGTTCAAGAACATGGTGCCCATATCAGGTGAGGGCACTTCTCGCAATGTCCTAACATGGCAGAAGGTATCACATGGTGAGACAGAAAGCTTCTGTCGGCTCTGCTGTCTCTCCCTACAAAGCCACTAGTCCCTTCACAGAGGAGGGGGCCTAATTACCACCTCACTTCCAAATGCCATTGGCGTATGAGTTTGGAGGTTGTTTCCCACATATGACATTTGGCAACACATTCAAAGCATCGCAACCCCCATGCCCTCTATCAACTTCTATTTTCCTGCCAGGAAGAAAATCAGACCAGTTAAAAAGTTGTGCTGCAGGGAAGACAGGTGTTTTAAGTGGTGGGTTGGGGTCACATGGGAAGCTGATGGGCTTTGGCCTCTCTTGCTCCTACGTGGTCCCTGGGGAAAAGAACAGGAAATGCAAGGAGATCAGCAATGGGGGGCAAGGTGAGGCCTGGAGGGTTCACGCCCTGGCTCAGGGAGGCACAGTGCCACATGCCATTCTAGGGACAGCTGGGGTCTGGGTGCTGGAGAAAGCGGGGCAGCGCTTCACGTATGGGCTCCTTCACGTGGCTGGGGAGGGGCATCCTCATCAGGGTTCAGAGGGGAAAAGGGGTGTACCCCTGGTCCATCAAGGTTCCCAGGAAGGACACCATGATCTCACCTCTTCAAATAATCCAGAATGGAAATTCCCAAGGCTCATTTCCTACCATTTAATCCTCACTTGGGGATCACAGTTGCCAAGTCTGGCTATCAAGGGCAAATGCTGGGTGTGGGTGACAAGCACAGCCCTCCACGCCCTGTCCAGCCCTCCATCCAGAAGGTACATCCTCACCACCTTGTGTCCCTCCTCCTTCCTACCCAAGAAGGGTGGTCAGGGCAAGGAGACTTGTGTTGAATCCCAGCTCCCCCCACACAGTAGCTGAGGGACCTCTGCGTGGGTTACTAACTTCTCTGAACCTCTGTTCTTCTTATACAAAATGAACACGGTTAAATATCCCATGAGCTCTGGGGATAAATAAATGAGATTAAAAAGGTAAATGTAAGCCAGGTGAGTGGCACACACCTGTAATCCCAGTGGCTCAGGAGGCTGAGGTAGGAGGATCACCAGTTCAAAGCCAGCCTCAGTAATTTAGCGAGGCCCTAAGCAACTCAGTGAGACCCTGTCTCTAAATAAAATATAAAAAAGGGCCGGGGATGTGGCTCACTAGCTAAGCACCCTGGGTTCAATCCCTGGTACCAAAAAAACAGAGAGGGAGAGAGGGAGAGGGGGAAGGTAAACGTACCCAGCCAGTGCCTGGCACATGGAAGATGTGCCATCAACGTACAGTTATTCGTTCCTCCCCTGCCCCTTGGGACCTTGTGCCCTCCCCTTCCCTTTTGGAGACAAAACACATGGTCTGAGCTACTTTCCATCTGCTCATGCACCAGACAGTCCACCATGCTGCAGGATCTATAGGGCCCTGCCTCTAAGGAACCAATGCAAACAGCAAGTGCAGAATTGTGGAGGGAAGACACTGCTAGCCAAGGAAGGTGGCTGGTGACCCAGATGAGATCACTTGATTGTGGTGACTTTATCAATAGTCCAGCAGCTGGTCCTTGGCTGACGTGTGAACTCTGAAATGAACCAAACCCAGGAGCCAGCCAACGTGGACGGACCCACGAAAGAGCAGCGTAGGGAGCTGGAGGGCCAGCTGTGCCAGTGCAGACAGAGCCCCGGTCCCCAGGGGCCCAGACACACACATCTCTCCGGAGGCCTCAGGAGAGTTTCTGAGCCTGGGATTCGAACGAGGCCAGGATGCTGGATGGTCTCCATGGCTGCTGTCATCAAATGACAGCCTGTGACATCCACACACCTATGCTGTGGCCTGGCCACCAATGTTTGCAAGGCCAGGCAACAACTCCCCTGGACAGCCTGGTGATCCAGCACCAAATCTGGTCTCTGGACCCTCTTTCCCCAGAACCCGCCTCTGGCCCCAGCGCTACCCTCTAACAGAGGACAGGGATGCCGGCAGCTTCTTGTTGCTGCTCTGAGGTTTCGCCCAGGTCTCCCTAATTGGATTTGGGATGTCCGCAGACAGACTGTCTCCTAGGTAATTTCCAGCAAGGGCTAATGTCCTCTCCTAAACTGTTTCTTCCTGATTGAATTCTCAGAAGGCGCTGTGAGCTTGTAGGTGCACGGCTGTCAGGCCCAAGCATGGCCACATTGTGCAGCACCGAGGGGCATGGGAGGAAGGCTGTCTGTCGCCCAATGGTTCCTCTCCCCCCGGTGGCCTACCATCCAGCAGGAAAATTAGATGAACATGTTCGGTGCCATCGAAAACCAGGTCAGCGTGCGACCTTGTGCACACCTGGTTGTAAGAGCCTCCAAGTTCAAAGGAGGGATAGACAGGGGAGGGTGGCTTTGGGAAAAGGTGGGCTCTGAGCAGCCAGCCTTGAGAGGAGCTGTGGACAGCAGGTTTAGGAAAAGCAGAGGAGGCAGAACATCTGGAGGGGCGGGTGTCCAGGGGAGTGGCTGAGATGACCCCCAGGTGTACGAAGTGGCATGGAGAGGCCAGCGAGCCCTCTGGCCTAAATGCGGGAGATGGATGATGGGGAAATGGAAATCAGATGTGGGGGGAGGGGGAGGGGGAGGGCACAGAGGTGGCAGGTGATGTCCCTTGTTCATGAATGCGTGCCTGGCTTCCGGCTTTCACCCACACAGATCCTGCAGACCTTCCCTGGTCAATACACTGGGTTTGTCAACAAACTCAGAAAGTCCAAGGGAAGCCCCGCAATTATCAGAGCCCCAGCAGATGCCAATCACACACATACACTTCCGTCCATCCAGACGCTGGGTCTAGCGGGACGCCAGGCAGGAAAGCCCTGTCCAAGAGGGAGGGCAGGGGAATCCCGCCCCGGCCAGGAGGGATGTCCCCGCGGCTCTGCACCTGGTGTGAGGCCATTGCCATGGCCCTGAATCAGTCCGGAAATCCAGCCTCGTGCTTCAGACACAACACGACTTCTCACCTACAAGTCCCTCGGGATTCTCAGAAATAACAGGAATAACTGGGGCTTTCCATCCGGGCTCAGTCCCTGTCTCCCACCATCACCTCCCTTTCCCTGAGCAAACAAGTTACCACCCAAGGCACACAAGAGCAATATGGAGTCTGTCACGCCATTTCTTGGAAAAAAATGAGCCCAGTTCCAGGAGTCTCAATTGAGGGACAGAATAGGCACTTGATAGACCCAAAGTGGAATGGTTTCTATGAGTATGAACCCTAACCAGGGCTCAGGAGGAGACGTGGGTCCCCTCTGAAGGAGGTAGGCCTTACAAACGTGATGGTTGCCTCTCTGCTTCCTGAGACAGCCTGATCCCTCCAAGAAGCTGGCCAGTCCAGGGCTCAGGGGCTCTGGAGGAGGGAGAGTTGTCCCCTGCAGGGCCCCAGGCTTCTTTTTCCGGGCAGGTAGGGGTCCCAGAGATTGAATCAGGGGCACTCAACCACTGAGCCACATTCCCAGCCCTATTTTTTTAATTTTATTTAGAGACAGGGTCTCACCGAGTTGCTTAGCACCTCACTTTTGCTGAGGCTGGCTTTGAACTCTCCATCCTCCTGCCTCAGCCTCCCCAGCTGCTGGGACTTCAGACGTGGGCCACCACGCCCAGCGGGGCCTTAGGCCTCCACTGACGTCGGGTTGTCTGGGTCTGGAGCTAGCCCCAGGGGGATGGTGAGCTGGCAGGCCGGGCTGTGGAGGATGGGAGGGTGCCCAAGGGAGTCATTCAGGCTGTGAATAACGGGGGCCTCATCACACCCCAGAGCTGTAGGGGAGACAGAGCACCTGGCACAGGTGCTGACTAAGAGAGCAGGTCCAGGCAGGAGGAAGAGCGGGAACAGGGAGGCTCTTCCAGGCCCTTGCACATGAGCAGAGCCTCCCACTGGGGCTCTGCACTTCCAGGCCCTTCTACCAGGAGTCCCGGCGCTCCACATGAAATTGTCTCAATTGAGACTCCTGGAACTGGTCTCATTTTTTTTTTTTTCTTCAAGAAATGGTGTGACAGACTCCATATTGCTCCTCTTCCCCCCACACTCCCTGCTCTCTGCCATAGGTCAGGTCCCCGGATTCCTGTCTGCCTTCCCCAAGCCCCAGACATCCCCTTGCTGATTTCCTCACCTGGCGTCCCTCAAGGGGCATCTGGCATGACTCCCTGGAAGCCTCTGGTCTTTATAAACGCCTGCCTTTTTCCCCAACAGATCCCTCCATCTTTTTATGTTCCAGGGCAGAAGAAAGCAGTGCCCCAGAAATGCTTGTGGATGACAATTATGGTAGTGACCCTCTATCTTCAAGGGCTGCCTCACAAGCCATTTCCCACAGGGCCCTTCCCGGGCATTTCACTAGTAGCTCTTTCCAGGCACTTGA